AACAGAACTGGCTGTAGTCTAGACGCTCTTTGTCGACAGAAGCTTTGTCAACAGTATCTGTCAACAAAACTTCTGTCGACAAAACCCTATAGTCTAGACATACCCTCTGATAGAGGCAGCAAGGGGGGAAGTGACTAGTTGAGTCACTAGTTGGCTAGTCACTTACATGCCTAGCTCAAGCAGGCTACAGCTATATCAGTACAGCCCAATAGGTGAATAGAGCACATCCAAGGAACAGACATGCAGAGTTTTGGCTGTGTGCACATTACAGAGATTATCCCTCAAACTCACCTTACCAAGTAAACAAAATACATTCCCATTTTATCCTGCCATGGCACTCTGGGGGCGACTTGTCTCTTTCCATTACACCAACAGCAGATATAGGCCCCTGCCATATGTGCAGCAGGAGATGGCTACTCAGGAAAGAGCCTGCCATCACTTATTCCTTCAACAGGCCATACATGGAAAAAAAGAGAAGAAAATCATTGCGTCATTCTCATTATAACGAGGACCCAAGGCTGCAACCTCCATTCAGCGCTTTTGGCTTGAGTATCACTTCTGAAGGGCTCAGTCCCACCATGATATAAACAACAAAATATAAAATAATGTTTATAGTAAAAGTGGTATGTACTTTCTGGCGCACTTCGTTCCATTCAGGAATGGTGTTACTAATCACTGGGACATGCTGAGCCTGCAGGACCAGAAGTGGTTAAGGAGTGACCATGCTCCATCATTCTCCCATGGTGTTGGGATTGGTCCTGCCTTGGGCAAGGGGCTGGATTTGATGACTGCTGAGGTCTCTTCCAGCTCTATGATTCTGTGATTCTGGGGAAGGGGTAGACAACAATTTTTGAAGCGAGGGGGCCACTTCACAAATTTCTGAAGTGGTCCTTGGCCACCCTGGAAGGGGTGGGTCCTCTGGTGGAAGAGGTGGGACCAGGAGGCTTTCTGTGCTTCCCCACCCACAGACCCTGATTGGCCTAGGGGTGAGGGAGCATGTCCAGTCTTTGCCCCCTGCCCCCAGCACCTAGAGAGAACCACCAACTATTTTGAACAGCTAATGGTTCCCTCCCTGGCTGTAGGAGATGACTTTGTGTGCTCCCCCGTCCCCAGGTCTCAATTGGTCTTGGGGCACGGGAGTAGCAGGGTGGCTGCAGGCTGGATCAGCCAGATTGGTGGGCATGATCCAGCCCATGGAGGCTGTCTTACCCACCCCAGTATAGGGCCTCATGTTGTGCCCTACTTACAGACCCATGTACTCTGTCACATCACTTGAAGAAACCCTTTGGTAATTGGGATGGGGATCCCTCTGTGCTAAGGGCCATAAAAACATATATAAACATAATCCCTGTTCTGAAGGCCTTATAGACGTAGAAAATAAGAAAAATGTATGGTGGAGGGGGAGACAATCTGGGGGAGATAACATCTTTTAGTGGACCAACTTCTGTTGGTGAGACACGCATTTTTGAGTCACACACAGCTCTTTCAGGTTTGGGGATGTAGATGTGCACATGCACTCTTTGCATTTATTTTTTGTTTTATAATTGCATCAGTAAATGTCAGTATACCCTGACTGCTTCTCAGCCTATCTATCTAAAACAGGGGTGGGAAACCTAAGGCCCAGGGGCCAGATGCAGCCCCCGGCTTGCCTGGATCCAGCCCCCGAGGTTCAGTCCGCCGTCTGCCCCCCAGCATTGGGGAGCTCGTGCTGGTGCATCAACCCACCACTACACCCACATGATGCTGGAGCACACAAAATGTAGTAGGCTGACCCCCCTAGGCTCTGGTGTGTTGAGAGGAATGTAGAGAGGGTCTTTCTCCATCTCAGTCGGGGCCACATCAGTGATGGTTTGGGTTTTTTGTTTTTTGTTGTTTTTGGGGGGGGGGGGGAAGGTGTTGGGTTTTTTTGGTTTTGAAACTTCTCACTTTTGTGCAGCCCCCCAGCTGATTTTCTGTGGGCTAGTGGTCTCAATCCAAAAAAAATTCCCCACCCCTTATCTAAATACTGGCTATTAAACATTGTGCTAAGCTAATGTTCTCACTACTTATTTCCTTGTGATAGGTTTGTGTCACCAACTAATTGGCCAGTCTTCAAAACCAGTTCCCCAATCAGGCTGTACATGATGAGGAGGGCCACCACAGCCCCCTTCTTAAGTTCAGTTATGGTAATAGTTTGTTCTTCTTCGAGTGCTTGCTCATGTTCATTCCATATTGTGTGTGTGTGCTCACCACATGCACCAGTGCTGGACTGGCCCTGGCACCCTCTAGAGGAGCGCAGTCAACCTGTGGAATTCCTTGCCAGAGGATGTTGTGAAGACCAGGACCTTAACAGGGTTAAAAAATAAAAACAAAAAAATCTAGATAAATTCATGGAGGTTAAATTAATGGATAAATTCATAGATCCATCAGTACTTATTAGCCAGGATGGGTAAGAATGGTGTCCCTAGCCTCTGTTTGTCAGAGGCTGGGAGTGAGTGACAGGGGATGGATCAGTTGATGATTACCTGTTCTGTTCATTCCCTTTGGGGCACCTGGCATTGGCCACTGTTGGAAGACTGGATATTGGGCTAGATGGACCTTTGCTCCAACCCATTATGGCCGTTCTTATGTTCATATGTCCTCTTTGTTGTTGAACAAAGCCATCACGGCTCACATTCATTCAGTCCCAAGCTCATGCCGGGCTCATCAGGACCTGTTGAAGAGGGTTGCTTCCAACCTGGGGCTCCAGGCAGAGGAGCTAGAGGAGTCACCGGACTCCGTTTGACGTCCTCTGTGCCCCAGCACCTGCTAAGATGGCATTATCCAGATACGAAGAGGTCTCAGATTATTAGGGTCCCATGGAAAACCCCCTCTTTCTGGCTCCCCATTTCAAAAAGGGCTGAACAAAAATACGTCATTGCAGCTAGAAGCCACGACTTCCTTTACACTCGCTGGCCCCAACCTCCCTAGTAGTTGAGCTGTTAATCAGGGGCAACCCCGGCTTATGCAAAGACTCAAAGACACTGGATTTACTTGGGCAAAAAAACATACTCCTCTTTCAACCTTTAACTAATAGTGGCAAGCCACCAAGCCTTCTGTGGCTGCTATGATTATAATATGTGATAGGCCATGGCTATCTGAGGTGAGTCTGAGGTTTTGTTTTCCGAAGGGTCCAGAAAGGAATTATGAGTGATCGTTGAGGAGGGCATGGCTGTAGCCAGAATGGCCTTCCAGACAGCTTCAGACGTGGCAGACTACAAGGCTTGCACCATGGCCTTAGCCATCTCCATGTAGCAGGTGTCCTGGCTGCTCTGCTCTGGTCTGTCAACTGAGGTTCAACAGTCAATGCAGGACTTCCCCTTTGCTGGCCAGGCCATATTTGTGGAGCAGACAGAGGGTAAGCTGCATGGGTTAAACGATTCCCACGCTACCCTGTAGTCCTAGGGCTGTACATCCCTGGTCCAGCATGTAAATAGTCACTCCACTTGTGGGATTTCTGCATCAAAGCACATGATCCATCTGGAGGCCTATCACCTTCCAGCATCAAGAACACACTGGCAGATCACCTCAGCAGATCTCTTTTCTCTCACCACAAGTAACTGCTCCACTTGGAGGTAGCCTGGATGCTCTTACAGAGGTGGGGAGCTCTCCAAATGGACCTCTTCACCACCAGCCTGAATAGAAAATGTCATTGCTTCTGTTCCCTACAGAATCTAGGCAAGGACTCCCTCTCCGATACCTTCCTTCTGTCATGGTTGGGGAGCCTGATGTACACATTCCCACGAATTCTGCTCATTGGCAGAGTCCTGGCAAAGATCAAGAGAGAAGGCACGTCTCGTAGCCTTGTCTCATCGTTATGATTGCCCCAGCATTGCCATGCTAACACTGGTTTGGCATGCTGATGAACCTGGCATTGTCTACTCCCTGGCCCCTTCCTGACCAGTGGGACCTGCTCTCACAGGATCAGGGTTCAGCTGATCGCCATATTTGGGGTTGGGAAGGAATTTTCCTCCAGGGTAGATTGGCAGAGGCCCTGGAGGTTTTTTGCCTTCTCTGTAGCATGGGGTACAGATCACAGCTGGAGGATTCTCTGCATCTTGGGGTCTTCAAAGTATTTGAAGGCTTCAGTATCTGAGATATAGGTGAGAGGATTATTCTAGGAGGGGGTGGGTGAGATTCTGTGGCCTGCACTGTGCAGGGGGTCAGACTAGATTATCATAATGGTCCCTTCTGACCTTAAAGTCTATGAGTCTATGAACGCTTCCTGCATATCAGCCTTGCCCCCCTCTTCCTCACACGATGGATGTTGCGTGGTTGAATTTGGAGTCCTCTCTAATGAGCTTCAGCAAATCCTCCTGAAATATAGGAAGCCTTCCACTAGAGCAACCTACCAGTCAAAGTGGGTGAGGTTCTCTTACTGGGAAACAGTAGCATCTCTCCCTTGTACTCTTCCTTGCAATCTATTACTTGTTCTATCTTAAAAACCAAAGGCTGGTGCGCTTCCCCATCAGGGTGCACCTTGTGGCCATCTCCACTTTCCACCCACCAATCCAAAGTCAGATGGTGTTCTCGCGCAATATGTCAATTTGCTTCCTTAGGGGCCTTGAGAGACACTTCCTGCTGGCCCGGACTCCTGTCCCACAGTGGGACCTTAACTTGGTTCTTAACAGGCTCACGGGCCTACCCTTTGCCCTCATGGGTTCCTGCTCCCTTTCTCGCCTGTCATGGAAGGTCATTTTCCTTGTGGCAATACATCAATGAGATGAGGGTGGAGCTTAAAGCTTTGACTTCAGAATCGCCGTATAAGGTATTCTGCAAGGACAAAGTTCAAGTGTGACCCCATCCAGCTTTCTTGCTTAAAGTGGTGTCTTCCTTCCATGTAAACCAGGACATCTTCCTCCCAGCGTTGTATCCCAAGCCACACACCACTAGTGTGGAAAGGTCGGATGCTCTCTGGTGTTTTATTTGAAGCATTCCAAGCCTTTCTTCAGGTCTACCCTGCTCTTCATCGTGACAGTGGACAAGATGAAGGGTCTTCCAGTGTCTTCACAGAGTCCACACATACATGGCATATTACACCATCACTTGCAGGCCAGAGATGACACCGGGTTTGGCAGAGCTGTGTTGCTACCCAACTTACTGTGTGGAAGTAACCTAATATGAAATGAACATGAGCAAGCACTTGAGGAAGAAAAGTCAAGTTACCTTTTCCATAGCTGGTGTTCTTCGAGTTGTGTTGCTCATATCCATTCCATGACTCGCTTTCCTTCCCCACTGTTGGAGTTTCTAGCTTATACTGTGGCATGTGCTCTCCACTCCAGAAGGCACCATAGCCCATCTCCTACAGATACTGCTGAGGGGAAAACTTGCAGCATGGGTCTGTGTGCTGAGCATGCAGCCTTACTGTGGGATGAACATGAGCAATACATTTTGAAGAACACCAGTTAGGGAAAAGGTAACTTACTCTTTTAGCACATGCTAATTACTGGTGCATATGTAGCTGGTGTAAAATACACTGGTAGAAGGCCTTTGGATGCAGCTGCCTGGTGACTACCAAATCCTGTAGCAGTTCTTTATAGATAATTGCCAAATATACTCCTTTACAGCTCTCAGATAAATCATTGGGGAATGCACCATGCTTTGTGAAGAGTAATGTGCCATTGATTGATTTTACTCTCACGTCTGATAACAACATCTTTATAGATGTCTTGTTACCGATTCAAATCTAGTGTCTCCAAAACCAGATTGCTCATCTTTTGTCTTAATCCGTCGCCACTTCTCCCTCTGGCATCACAAAAAATTTTGCTACTGGCCCTTGTCTCCCAAGTTGCTAATGCCATCTCAGACTTCCCAACTCTCCTTCATCTGCACTCAGTTCCTTCATTAAGTCTCATTACTTTTTCTTGTTTAAAAATCAGCATGTACTTTCATATTTCTCTTCCTGCACTAAAACACTTATCCATGATTTGGGTGTTTTCTCACCTTGATTATGAGAATTGTATCTCTAATTATTCTGTTTCCCCTCTTCCCCCCACCACAACCTTCTGTTCTGTCTAGATTAATGCTGTTATTCCTTTTCTTTACAATTATTCCAAGCACATGTCATATCCTTGAATCCACTGTCTAGCTTTCTTTCAGTCTCACATTATATTCAGACTTCTTGTCTTTTCCTTGAAGACCATTCATAATCTTATTTTGCGTGTGCGTCCCCCCAAGTTTGTCTTATGGGATAGCATTTTAATATGTTCTTAGCAGATCAGCAATCCATCTAGCCCATATGCTGTCCCAGACAATAATCAATATCAGATACTTCAGAGGAAGATGCCAGCATTCCTGTAATTGCCTTTTATCCAATAACCTGCCTGAAAGGAATCTTCTTTCAGATATCCCACGAGTCAATAGTTGGTTTGTGCCCCAAAGTGTTAGAATTTCTACCTTTTCCAAATATACTTTCTATAATATAGCGATGGATGTAAGAAACCTGGGTTCAGTAAATTTTGTCTCGGTGATGAAAGGAGTGGGGGCTTTTTCATAAAAGGAAGTTGAAATTAGCAGCATGAAAGGAAGGTCCATGTGAAGATGAATAAAAAATATTATAATTAACTTGCAGATTATTTTTCCCTTTTTTCATTAATATAGGTGGTGGCAGAGGCAAAGACATGTCTAATATCACAGGTCACCGTGGAAAAGACATTTCCACCATCCTAGAGGAAGAAAGGAAAGAAAATAAGCGCCCACAAAGAGCTGCTGCAGCACGTCGCAAGAAACGACGGCGACTGAATGATCTTGATAGTGATAGTAATCTGGATGAGGAAGAGAGTGAGGATGAGTTCAGAATCAGCGACGGGTAGGTAGCTGCTAAACTACTAGTCTTAGGTTATTAACAATTACAGGTTTCTGTGAATTTAGAATTCCAGTGGGTTGTTTCTCTGAGGTTTAAAGCTGTAAGATAGAGGAGGTTTTCTATTAAGGTCAGGTCTAGACTTAGAACTTTTATTGGTCTATCTTTCAGTTAGGGTTATGCTTTTGGGTGTTCTTTATTAAAAACACAACAAAGGTAGATACATCACTGAAAGCCCTAGAGTAGACACATTTATATTGGTATAAAGGTGACTTATACCGGTATAGTTGTGTTTCTTACTGTATGGGAATTGCAATACCAATGTAAGGCATCTTTCTGTTCTACTCAATATAGATAAGGAGGTACAACTTTCTAGTACAGACAAAACCTCACAGATATCTTAGAATTATGAAGTACTGATAGGTAGACTGAATGCTTCATTTCTAGTAGCTTAAAGAAAGCTATTGAAATCCACTTTTGATTTTAGCATGCTAAAAATTTGAGGTTCAGATACTAGCAGAACTAGATGCAGAAAGCAGGAAAAAGTAGAGTTTTTCTTCCCAACCTATGAGAGTAACAGCAACAACATACTGTTGCCTATGTACCTTTCCTTTCAGGTAGGTTACTTAACTGTTGTATAAATTGGCTCAGTCTTTGTATGATAGTATTGCTGAAAAAAATCAGTAATATAAATCAGTGAATTATAAGTTTATCCATAAGTGTATCAACTTCATGGTTATGATTCTTTCAACTCTCACAAGTGAATAGGTTTGTATTTGGTTAGTGTTTGAATGAAATATCTCAAAGGAACACCTACTGTAGGTGAAATGTGAAATTATTTCGTAGGTGGTGTTCTATCTGAATTATTACTGAACCAATATGACAGAAGCAGTGTAAGAGTGAGGGTACCATATTTCAAAGAAGAGACAAACCAAAGTCCTGACTATTTGTAGGTACTTAAACACCACTATTCTTATACATTCTTTATTTTGAAGTTCTGGGCCAACTGGAATTCAGCCAAAATAAAGCCACCTGCCATTTCAATTGGATTCATGTACTGTCCTAATCTGCTCTATATGGGTATGTCTACACTACCCCGCTAGTTCGAACTAGCGGGGGTAATGTAGTCATCCGCAGTTGCAAATGAAGCCCGGGAAATTCAAATCCCGGGCTTCATTTGCAACTGCGGATGACTACATTACCCCCGCTAGTTCGAACTAGCGGGGGTAATGTAGTCATCCGCAGTTGCAAATGAAGCCCGGGAAATTCAAATCCCGGGCTTCATTTGCAACTGCGGATGACTACATTACCCCCGCTAGTTCGAACTAGCGGGGTAGTGTAGACATACCCTATTATATTCTATAAATGCAACTTCAGGTATGCAGCAGGTGTTTAAGATCTCCAGGCAAAAAGAGATACATAAATATATCATTGAAGTATCATCTACATTTATTATAAGCTCTATTAAGTATATCTATTATATGTTACATTGTTTTAGTCTGTTTGTTCCAAAAACCTCTTTTGGCTGTAACATTTTTAACAGATCTCAGGATGAGTTTGTTGTCTCAGAGGAGAACCCGGATGAAAGTGAAGATGATCAGCTATCAAACGAAGACAGTGATACCGAGTTCTGTTCCCGTAGACCCAGGCGACACTATGCTAGGCCAATGAGACAAAGCAGGCGGTTACGAAGAAAAACAGTCAAGAAAAAATATTCAGAGGATGATGAAGAGGAGGACTCTGAGGACAATTTAAGTAGGGAGTCTGGTAAGCTTAAGTTTTTCAGAGTTAGCTATTGTGTGCCAGAGAAGGGGGTCCAAGCAAAAAGACTGGGGAGGGAGAATAAAGGGAATTATAAAATCCTGACTTCTAATCTAGGCCTTGACATTGATTGGCTATTGGGTCATGTGTCATCTGTGCTTCTAAGGTACTAACTGTAAAAATAGGGCTAATGCTTTTGTAATAGAGGTGATGTTGTTTAATTAGATGACTCTGTGAGTTACTTTGGAGATGAAAATTGCCATTCGAGTATTTTTTTAATATATATATTAAAGTGTGCTGAAGTTGCGAGGGTACATTGACAATTGTATGCAGAATTTGCAGGTTCCCAATGTTTCATTTCCATTAGCTTCTCTATTTTCATGTTTTGTGCGTTACAATCTTTTTTTTTAAATTTAGCCCGAAAAGTAGTTTAAAGAAATATTTTATTGTGCCTACTCAGCCTCTGCTGATGCCTCATTGAAAACTTTGAAAAGCCTACTGGTTGGAGAAACTCTCCCTGATTTTGTAGCATAGGGAAGAGTAATTCCCTCAACTGCAAGAATTATTGTACTATGATCTATGTTAAACAAGGAAGACAAGGTAAATTACAATAGTAATCCCTTCAGACTTAATAGTCTATGAATCTATGCTTTCGTTATTTCTCTCTTTTGAACTTTAATTACTAGGGAGGCTTGCTTGACAACAGAATCTTTGTTCCTTGCCTTATACTGCCTGATCCCGAATCAAAATCCATCCTCTATCTGAAATTCAGTTGACTCTGTGGAAATGAGTCCTACCCACAGGAATAAGTAATGGAAGCAGATGAACTAAAGGGAGAAGATTTTTTTTCTTACACATATTTGTTCTTACTAATCAAGAAGGAGTAAATCAGAAAATAGGTAAATTTTGTGACCTAATGTATTCTCATAGCTTTCCATGAGGAGTTAGCACTTTTTAGGAAGAACATCTTTGGGAGTATCACTCACTCTGTAGGAGTGGGCCCAAAACTACCTAATGTCCTAAACTCCTATATGGAGTTAAAGGCATTCAATGCTTTGCAGTATTAGCCCATTGCAGGTACCAAATGGCCTTTCCATTATTGTATCCATCTTTGTGAAGTCAACTGAGCTTCTGCAGACTGAAATGGGTTATTGTTGAAGGGCTTGTCTCCAGTGTGAGTTATGTTTGGGCTAATTAAGAAAGGTGTATGAGCTTAAAATGATTGTTCTGTAAGCTGTCTTCCTTTTCTGCAGGCCACTAAGGGACCAACAACAACTTTAACAGAGAAATGGTTTGAGTCTGAACACACACACAGAGTCATAATGGAAATGGTGTTAGTCTGTGATTAATGAAAATATGTGAGCAACTGATGCAGAAGCTAAAGGATCTGAAGTTATTACACACTAATGCAGCTGAATATTTGGGAGCAGTTTGTGTTTAGTTCCTAGTGGACGTGTTCATCACAAAAAATTCTACCCTAATAGAGTGTATGCACTGAGGCTCTTGTTAACAAGAGGCAGAGAGGCCAATGGCTCAGTGTGCCTGAAAGTGGAATTTCCTTCTAATCTCTGGACGTGATCCCTCCATGGCAGCTCGATGTTGGAGAAGCTTGCTCTGCTGCTGACTAGTATTCTTCGGTTTTGTGGACAAATAAAGCATCTCAGTCTTTGAGATATTCTGTCCTGTTCCTTTCCCCAAGACAGTGCATGTCTCTCATCCCTCTGCTCCTCCCCTCTCTCTGTCTCCTCCAAAAAGGGTGATTGCTCGAACTGTGTGTTCCTTCCCTTATGCCCACAAGCTCCTTTTCCAGGGAGCCTGTCTTGCATGATGTTGGATCTAAAGAAATAACAAACATGGACCATTGCTTTATTTTTTTTTCTTCTCCAGAGCTCTGAGGTATCTTATTGAGCTCTCTGTTGAGTTGTTCTTGCCTTTTTCTTAATGTTTCTGTGGTAAAAGGCAGCAGTTTTAGTTTGTCATTTCAGTTAATAACATAATAGGGCATCTTGTGTTGTGAATGAAAATGCAGCATTATCACTATGGACTAATGGTTCTGACATGGTTCAAAGAAAAAGTAGTTAAATGGCACCCAGCTACCACAGTTATTTTCAGTTGGAAAAAGTGGCTGACAGGCTAAACCAGGGCAGTGGCCCCTAGCTGGCTTCCAGAAACTTTATTTACCTCAGCATCCTCAGGTATGGCCACTCACACTCTCATTGGCTATGGTCCATTGTTCCATGCCAATGGAAGCTGCAGAAGGTAGTAGCCCAGCCTGCACTGCTTCCCACAGCTCCATTAGCTGTGAACTGTGAACCATGGCCAACAGGAGCTGCGAATGGTCACACTTGCAAATGCTCAGGTAAATAAGGTGTCTAGCGGCCCACCGGGACTACCACAGGCAAACTGCGTGTAGGCCACTGATTACCCAACACTTAACTGGATCCTAATAGGGTACTAGGTCTCCAGAAGACTGGTGCACCAAAGAACTAGGAATGAGTGTGGGGTTGGTAATTATAAAGACTCTCGTCTGGTATTCTGACCAAACTTGTAGCTGCAGCTTTGAAACCTATAGGATTGATTTCTTGTTACAGATTGATTGTTTTCAAGTCAGCACTTTACAACTACAGCAGAATGGTCAAGGGTAAACTCAGGTATACAAAGTTTAGCCACTTTTCTTTTCAGGAATTGTTTACCCACTTCATTTTTAACCACTGCTATTCTGTCAGTGTCTTTCATGCACATTGTCTAAAAATGCTTGAATAAAATAAAATTAGAGTTGAATAAAAACTGGTCAGGAGAGCTATTTTCCAGTGGAGATTGAAATGAAATTATATAATCAATTCAGATTCAAGCAGGTTGTTCCAGTTGGCTGGCGCTGTAGAGGAGAAGCGTGTTTCACACAGGCAGAGGTAAGATTGTATAGAAGGATAAAAGGAAACCAGTGCTAGAGGAGTGGTGGGAGAGGTTTGTTAGGGTAGCTGGTCAAGTCCATACGTGAATTTTAAAAATAGATGCAATTTCATGCTGGAAATGAATGGGGAGCCAGTGGAGTAGTTTGAAGCTGTATCTGGTCAAGATGATAACGTTCCCATTAGAGGCATAATGCTTGAGGTGTTCCTTTGACTGAAGAGTAGTTGATTTTGTTGGTTCAAGGTTGCACATACCTTTTGGAAATGTGATGGTGGGTCTGTGCATTTTCATGTTAACAGTCTAAAACACATGGCTGTTTTCTTCTTTGCAGAAAGTGGTGACTACACAGATTACAGTGATGATGATTATCTGGAAACTAGGAGGAGAAGATCAAGGCGGAATCAGAAAAGACAGGTTAACTATAAGGAGGATTCAGAAAGTGATGCCTCACAGAAAAGTGTTCGATATGGAAAGGAGCTAAGACGACTTCATAAACGCAGGCTTCCCAGTTCAGACAGTGAAGGTAAAAAAGAGCACTCCACCGTTTGCAGGAGCTAATGTGTGAGTGATAGTGCAAAGAGAGAAATATGGGTAGAAAGTAAACGTGAGAGTGGAGGTTAGTGTGAGATGCACAGAGGATTTTTTCCTGAGATCCTCAGTATTTTCCAAACTCTAAATACATCCTTGTGATGCAACTTACCACTTGATATAACAAGCCATTGCTACAGTTATTTGTCAAACTCTCTCTGCATTCCCTTATCCTGACTTCCTGGTGTGAAATTACTCTACTAGGTAGGGAAACATTGAGATTCCAAAGTAGGAAATGCAATTATTCTGGAAGACAGGAGTATTTTGCATGTTTCAATTGAGAAGTCACAAAATCCTGACCTTTGTGATAATTAAAGATCCTTTTGTAAGAGTCAGGGAGTTAATGCTGGTGTCCTGGTTGTATCTAAATTGGGTAATTTTGTTCTGTTCCCTACTAAATATCCATGTATTTGCATGTAAACTTTTAATAAAATTATAGAAATGTAGAGCTAGAAGAAGAGATCTTGAGAGGTCAAGTTCCCTGTGCTGAGGCAGGGCCAAATAAACCTAAACCAACCTGAACAGGTGTTTTTCCAACCTCTTCATAAAAACCTCCAGTAATGGGGCTTCCACAACCTCATCTGGTAGCCTGTTCCAGAGTTTAACTACTTTTATAATTAAAAATTGTTTCCTAATATCTAAGTCTTGCTGCAGATTAAGCCCATTACTATTTGTCCTACCTTCAGTAGACATAGAGAAGAATTGATCACCATCCTATTTGTAGACTGTTATCAGGTCCCATATTTGTCATCTTCTCACCTGCCTAACCATGTCCAGTTTCTTTTAAACTTTCTTCATAGATCAGGATTTTAACTGGCACCCAGATCTGAACACAGTGCTCCAACTGGGACCTCACCAGTACCAAGTAGAGCAGGACAGTTATTTTCCATGAAACAAAAGACAGGACTATGCCGCACTTTAAAGACTAACAAGATGGTTATTAGGTGATGAGCTTTTGTGGGCCAGACCCACTTCCTCAGATCAAATTGTGGAAGAAAATTGGCATGACCATATATACCAAAGGGATACAATCAAAAAAAGTGAACACATATAAAAAGGACAAATCAAATTTCAGAATAGAGCGGGGATGAGGGGGGGAGGTTAATGTCTGTGAGCTAACGATATTAGAGGTGATAATTGGGGAAGCTATCTTTGTAATGGGTAAGATAATTAGCATCTTTGTTGAGGCCCAGTCGTTCATGCTTAATTATCTTACCCATTACAAAGATAGCTTCCCCAATTATCACCTCTTATATCATTAGCTCAAAGACATTAACTTCCCTCCCTCATCCCCCCTCTGTTCTGAAATTTGATTTGTCCTTTTTATATGTGTTCACTTTTTTTGATTGTATCCCTTTGGTATACATGGTCATGCCAATTTTCTTCCACAATTTGATCTGAGGAAGTGGGTCTGGCCCACAAAAGCTCATCACCTAATAAACCATCTTGTTAGTCTTTAAAGTGCTGCATAGTCCTGTCTTTTGTTTCAGCTAAACCAGACTAACACGGCTACATCTCTATTACTAGTTACTTTCCATGTCTTTCATATGACACTCCTGCTAATACACATTGGAATGATATTGGTCTTTTTTGCATCAGGTTGTTGACTCAATTCAATTTATCTACTTTAACATCCAGATCCTTTTCAGCATTGCACCCACTTATCCAGTTGTTCCTCATTTTGTAGTTGTGGATTTGTTTTTTCTTTTCTAAGTGAAGTACATTGCCCTTATCTTTTTAGTACATTTCATGTTGATTTCATCATAATTCTCTAATTTGTTAAGGCTGTTTCAAGCCCTAATCCTGTCATCCAAAGAGCTTGCAACCCCTCTCAGTTAGGGATCTTTTGCAAAGCGTTCTCTACACTTAATTGTTGCAGTCATTAATGAAAAAAATGAATAATATCAGACTGAGAACAGAGCTGTGGGGCCCCATTAGATACATTCTGAGAGTTGACAGCAAACCATTGATAACTACACAGAGTACAGTCTTTAATCCTGTTGTACACCCACTTCTATAGTGATTTCATCAAGCCCAAATTCCTCTGGGTTGCTAATGAGACTGTCATGTGGGACATAAGCCTTCTAAAGTCAAGATTATACCATGTTTTCTGCTTCCCAGTATCCATTAAGTCAGTAACCCTTTCAGTGAAGGAAATTAGGTTTGCTTGGCAAGATTGGTTGTTTGAGTTCTTACTCATGTCAGTTCCAATCAGGGATGTGCATTTGGTGCATGCACACCTAATTAGTTAGCCAGAAGGTTTTTCCCCTAACAGTACCCATCGGGTTGGCTTAGGCACCCTCTGGAGTCATGCTTCTGTGGTGCTGTTTTTAGGGCTCTGCCATCTCAGTTCCTTCTTACCACCTATGACGGTTAGCCGGAACCCACGTTTGCTTTTGTTTTGGCAAGTCATCTTCTTAATAGTCTTCAGACTGTCTTTCTGTAAATAGTTAAGCCATTTAATTAGTAGCTGTAGTTGGTCATTATGTACAGGTTGGATCTCTGTGGTCCAGCACCTTTGGGAGATTGACCCCCTCCTCTCCCTTCCTCCTCCTCTGCCGCCAGGATGATAAGACTGTGGCTGAGAAACTAAATGAATTATTTCATAGAATCATAGAATAATAGGACTGGAAGGGACCTCAAGAGGTCATCGAGTCCAGCCCCCCGCCCTCAAGGCAGGACCAAGCTCCGTCTACACCATCCCTGACAGATGTCTATCTAACCTGTTCTTAAATATCTCCAGAGAGGGAGATTCCACCACCTCCCTTGGCAATTTATTCCAATATTTGACCACCCTGACAGTTAGGAATGTTTTCCTAATGTCCAATCTAAACCTCCCCTGCTGCACTTTAAGCCCATTACTCCTTGTCCTGTCCTCAGAAACCAAGAGAAACAAATTTTCTCCTTCCTCCTTGTGACACCCTTTTAGATATTTGAAAACCACTATCATGTCCCCCCTTAATCTTCGTTTTTCCAAACTAAACAAGCCCAGTTCATGAAGCCTGGCTTCATAGGCTTCTCTAGACCTTTAATCATTCTTGTCGCTCTTCTCTGTACCCTTTCCAATTTCTCCACATCTTTCTTGAAATGTGGCGCCCAGAACTGGACACAGTACTCCAGCTGAGGCCTAACTAGCGCAGAGTAGAGCGGCAGAATGACTTCACGAGTTTTGCTTACAACACACCTGTTAATACAACCTAGAATCATATTTGCTTTTTTTGCAACAGCATCACACTGTTGACTCATATTCAACTTGTGGTCCACTATGACCCCTAGATCCCTTTCCGCCATGCTCCTTCCTAGACAGTCGCTTCCCATCTTGTATGTATGGAACTGATTGTTCCTTCCTAAGTGGAGCACTTTGCATTTCTCTTTATTAAACCTCATCCTGTTTACCTCCGACCATTTCTCTAACTTGCTAAGGTCATTTTGAATTATGTCCCTATCCTCCAAAGAAGTCGCAACCCCACCCAGTTTGGTATCATTAAACCTGAGGAATCTGTCCCAAATTAAAGTGTCATTAGCACAGGTTTTGGAAAAAAATAGATAAATTAAACACTAACTTTGTGATGAGAGGGAAAGGGCAGGAGAGTGTGAGACAGAGAAAGGATTGGCATTTCAGAAGAGAGGGATAAAAGGTAAAGTATAAAGAGCAATTCATAGACCCATAGAGGATTAGTATTGGAAGAGACCTCTGAACATGATTTAGTTCAGCCTCCTGTTCAAAGCAGGACCAAATGCAGCTAAATCATTCCAGTCAGGGCTCTGTGAAGCTGGGCCTTGAAAGCCTCTATGGATAATGATTCCTCCCGACCCTAAATAAACCATCTCAGTGCTTCATGACACTCCTAGTGAAATCGTTTTTCCTAATAGTTTTAACCTAGACTTCCCACACTGCAACTCAAGACCATTACTTCTTGTTCTGTCATCTGTCACCATTGAGAACAGCCGGGCTCTATCCATTTTGGAACCCCCCTTCAGGTAGTTGAAGGCTGCTATCAAATCCCCTTCCACATTCTTTCTGTCGTGGTGGGCAGAAAACTGCATGCAATACTCAAGGCATGGCCTCAGCAGTGCGGAATAAAAGGGAATAATCACTTCCCTTGATCTGCTGGCAATGCTCCTACTAATACAGCCCAATATGCCTTTAGATTTCTTCGCAACAATGGCACACTGTTGACCTAGATCCAGCTTCTCATCCACTGTAATCCCCAGGTCCTTTTCGGCAGAAAATTGTTAAAGTTTTGTCTGCCATCAGATTTTGCTAACCATTTTAAGTCTGTTCCTCATTCCAGAGAGCTACATGTCCAAGAACTCTGAAGATGATGAACCAGCAAAGGATTCAAAGCGGTCTATTCAAAAACGTAGCCGAAGTACAGATGAATACTCAGAAGGAGAAGAGGAAGGGGACAAACCAGAGGAGGGAAGACCCGTCCGAAAACGGCTGAATCGAATTGAAACAGACGATGAAGATAACTGTGACAATGCGAACAAAGATGTAGAAAAGCCTGCACCTGCAAATAAGCCGTCAGCACCCCATGTTCCTCATGACAGCACCAAGAAGTCGTGCTACCGGATAGAAAGTGATGATGAAGATGACTTTGATAACTACAGCCTAGTGGACTTGCCTTCCACCAATGGACAGAGCCCAGGTAAAACTATTGAGACCTTGATTGGTAAACCAAGTGAGAAGACTCAAGCCCCCAAGGACAGCACAGCCAATGCCAGTCTGGCACCCAATGGGACAGGGGGTGGTCAGGAAGTAGCAGGGCCAGAGGAAGAGGAGGATGAACTTTTGAGAGTGACTGACCTTGTTGATTATGTCTGTAACAGTGAACAGTTATAAGACTTTCTTCCATTTTTGTGCTAATTTATTCCACGGTAGCTCATACCAGCGGGCCAGTTATTAAAAGCTGTTTTATTTTTCCTAGAAGACTCTCCACTACAGTATCACTTTTTAGAAGCAAGAATTTCACCAGTTCTGTAGTCTTTCTGTGAAGTGACCAGTTTTGAACTTTGAAGATAAATTGCTGTAAATTCCCTATTCATTTTTTTCTCTCCTTCCATGTCCATGGTCCTGGGTAATTTCATTCACAAAAACCTTATAACAACAAGAGATTTGTATATTTTTGACTTTATATTTCCTGAAAGAAAACAAATTTGTCGAAATGTGTGGCCTATGAAAGCATTCCAAATCAGTCAGGGCCCAAAACGTAACTAGGGCAGGGGAAGGGGGAGGTGGGAATGAGGGCGTGTGTGCAGAAGCACTTGTGCTTTAGCTTTTTCATATGAGATATATATTATATTTAAATGTTCACAACTTAGATTACAATTTAACAGTTTAAAAATTAATGTCTCTACTGTTGCATTTTGTGAGTTGTAGGTTAACATACATAGCTCATTTTAGTAGCCATCTTCATGAAAGCAGTTTGATTTAAGACTGGAGATAACCACAGTAAATAAAAAGGCCCAGAAAGTACAATAAACAAGAACTCTAGTATCCATTTTGGTTTGCAGAGTTTCCTGATAAACATCCTTTAAAGTGTTTGTACAGTGAAGTGTACTGTAATGAAGTTTTGACAGTTGAAATATACTACCAATGAATTTATAAAACAGTTTTTTATGAATATTTCATCAGATGGCCTTTAATGTACAGTATCTGGTGGGAGGGAAATCTTGGTGTGAAATTAGTTTGTAAATTGGATGATACCACGTGAATGCTGTAAAATTTCACAGATGCCAGAACTGTATAAAGTAACTTCCTGGCCCTTTGAGTTTGAAACCATCTATCAGAGTATTTTGAAAGGAATATGTTTGTACATACTGCATCGACCACAGAATTTCAGCACATCTGATGATGGAGGGATTTTCAAATAAACCTTGACTGGTCCATTCATGCCCCTAATATCTACTTCAAATTGAAGTAAACAAATGGAGCAGTTTTCTTTTTGGAGGTTTTCTGTTTTGGATTTGTGTGTTTCTGTTTTGATTTACTTATTTGCCTGGATGTATTAGCAGGTTTTGAATGTAGTGTTGGCCTTTGGCCATTAGAATTTTCTTAAAATACATTTGAATAGTTGTTATGTGACCAACTGATTTCAAGAGGGCAGTATTTCTGGGATAAAATGCTAGATGCCAAGACAACATCTCATTACTTTGAGTGGCATGTACTTTAGCTTGAGTATACAGATTTTATAACTGTTTATTTGGCACATAATAGACAGTGAAGCTGAAGTTTATTTCAGGTAGCACTCAGTTTTCTCTTCGCTGTTAATTAAGATGCAGATTGTAAAGTTTATACATTATAGCCCATAACTAAAACATAGCTGCCAAATGTTGAAATCTGATACGGTCACATCTATTAATCCTTTTGTGCTGAGATTTGGATTTTTCTCCCCTGGTGTTCTGTCCATTGCCGGCAATGGATGCACCAAATTTGCTGCTCGCACCATGGAGTTAATTCTCCTTCCTACCCTCACCCCCAGCTCCTCCAGGTCGTATTGACTAGTCAGTCAGTAGTTAAGCACTTCTGTTTCACTGTAATAAAGCTGGCATTAGGCCTTTACTAAATACCTCTCTAGAAAACCTAGATCCAAAAAACCATACCTTTTGGCCTTGAAAATCTTTATTCTTGTTTCCCTCCCCTTCCGCCCTCCCTCCCCCAACCATCCATGTAAGTTCTGTAGAATCGACTGCATTAATGTAATTTCATTGGGATTCTAGCAGTTCATATATCCTCATGTATAAAACTAGAACTATCAAAGATGCAAAAGGTTAGGACACAGTCATCATTTGCTATGGTAATCAAGGTTTGTGACTTAAAATATGAGAAAGAATTCATTCTTTCCAAATGAGTTTATTCCATTTGAATTTAAAAAAAATAATTTCTGCCATGTCAATTGATAGATAACAGGTTTCATTAACAGATGTTTAAACAGGGTAGTGCAAACAGCCACAAAAGTTTAGAAAGTGTTCTTAAAAGTATATGTAGCATTTTAAGCTACTATAGGTGTTTTTTTCTTTTGCTTAGGTGATGCATCAGTGTAGTGCTGCTACATTTCTAATATACTTGTGTTTAAAATTAGTGACACGTGGCTCCCATTTTTCAGTGTTAGTAATTGTTGTGCATTTTTAATATTTGCAATGCAAGCTGTCTGAAACACATATAGCAATACTCTGTACAGCCAGGACTTCTGTTTTGTTTGGACAGTGCCATAACCCTTTTACTGTCTGTCTTAGCCTTTTAGTATCTGGAAAGTGCTATAGCAAACACTCTTGCTGCAGCATCAACTCTAAATTATAGACATTTAATGGGCAATTAAATTCAATGTAAGAAAAATACAAAAGAGTTGGAAGTAGTGAATACACCAATCGTGGACACAATCAAATATTATGTCTTAATTGTGGGAATGATGTAAAAGCAAACAACGTCATAAAGCCCAGTCAGAAGACTGGAATATATAATCCAGGTACCGTCAGTTCTATAAATACATCCGTGACTTTGACACTGCTACAGAGCATTACTTCCTGTATGTCAGTTTTGTCAATTCACTTTCTATTTGATTAAGAAAAAGTCATTTCTGATGTTAAGGTCATCCCAAAGATTCCAAGCCTGAAGCCCTTACACAGGCAAAGCTCCCTTTTATATCAATGGGAACCCTATCTGAGTAAGGACTGCATCATTTGGCCCAAAGAGAGGACATATATTTTCAGCCTCTTCCCAATCCCTAGTTTGAAGATACTCTGCTTGATGGGAAATGTGTAGTATCTTATTTGGAAAATGGCACTTCTTGATAAGAGCCCAGGTGACCCCCTAGTCAAATGGGAAGACTGTTTTCATTAGTCCACACTACAGAAATATCCTCCAGTTCATTTGGAGTCATTCACAGATTGTGTTCTACTGTAATTTTGGTTAGGAATGAAGAGCGATGTTTTTGGATTATGTCAATGTTCACAATGAATACCAATCTTCAGATGTTGCTAAAGTCAATAAGCAAAAGATCAAATAATTTTAGAAACAAAATGGAGACAGGCCTTGGGTTATTTAACATAAATGTTTCAGCTGGAAAAGAATAAGCAGATAGCAGTCCTGTAGGTAAGGATTTGATCGCACAAGCAGCTACTCATCAGGTTGTGACGAAATGTTATATTGCAGATTTTTAAGTTGAACATTAGTTACTACAGAACCCATTGGGAAGAAAGTCAATTAAGTGCAGTTCAGATTTTAAGCAGGATCGGAAAAAGGAGGAAACTACAAGTTTAGGGAGTAAAATGAGGGATGGAAATTTCTAATTCCTTTCACAAAGAGAAGAGGGACATTAGCTGGCTTGCTAACCATTTGCATGAGCATTGGTATCATAAGTGTACAGTAAATACACTTCACACTTAAATGGATGTGATGGATTACATTAACAAGCCTGTAATATAGTAAGAACTTCAACATGGTTGTTTTTGTCATCTTTGATTCTTCTAAACGAGTGTATTCCTGGTTTTTAAAAAAACAGATATAGTAGACAGTTTGTCTCTTTAATTACAAATACAGGAAGATCAATACTAAACAGTGAACTCTTTGAGTTTTGATAGTTTATTCAGAGTTGTGCACATTAAATTATATGAACACACAAACACCTCTTTTCTCTATCTAAAGGCTTCTGCATTTTAATTGCACTTCAGAGGAAGAGTGATTTTTTTTTTTACCCCATATTGTATGTTTATAAGATAGTCACCTTTTTTAAGATTATCCCTTTGGTTTAAGGTGTTCAGTTGCTCTTCAAGGCAACATGAATGTTCATAAAAGAAAAAAAACTTCGCATGGTAGTCCATTTGTTCTAATTTGTCTTAGGCTCTTGAACTGTGTGGATATCCAAATGCTATAGTAATTCAATAATTCTAAAAGTCAGGGTGTCCAAACAGATCTCTGTTTTCAGACATTTCTAATTTGACACTGAGAGCTCTTTGGTTTGAAGACTTGGCTCAACAGTAATATTTAAACATTGCTTCCAGTCACACACTTTCACAAACTAGCTTTCTTAAAAGTAAACAAGGTAAAGGCACTTGGGTTTTTAAAATCCCCTTTGTGTACAATAATTAGATCGTATTTGGCAGTAATGCTAGCTCCAAAATGGTCTGAGCAAGATATTTGTGTCACCTGGCTCAAAATGGCAACCTTTAAGCCTCAAAAAAGTGATTGTGGCACATGTGCAGTGACTACTGTCCACAGGTTTGTATTGTAGCTTTTAATGCACAGGATGCATCCTACAGGCATATTTACTTAAGAAGAACACTTCTGGCCCATTGGGTAAATAAAACCTTTAAAAGTTGTATATAAATAAATATTAAATCATTTAAGCGGATGCATATCTTTACTGAAGAAAAATATACTGGATGGAAGGGAAAAGAAAGAAAGTTCATGTTAAATAGCCCTGATCTGCAAGTCCTTACACAGAAGTGCATCTATGAAAATCATTAAGACTGCTCTAATGAATAAAGATGTGTAGGATTAGGCCTATAATTCTTGACGCATCGTAGGAACTCCTAGCTGCCAGTCTTAGCTTTTGTCTTTCACCCTTCACCTGAGTTAGGGGTGGAATGTTGCTTTTAACTGGTTTGGAATTCAGGAAACACAGAGTGAGTAGAGAGGCCTTCATTTTAGTTGAACTAATGTTTGCAATATGTACGGACCTAATTTTTCAAAAATAGCTAATGATTATGGATGCTTTCATGTTTGGGTATCCAGTCTGAGACATATTAAAGCAGTGCACTTTTTGAGAAACAGCAGAACGCTCACTCATGGAAAATAAGGCGCCTTGGAGATGTCTCCCATTGGACAACCAAAAATTGAGACCCTAAAAATCATTAGTTCCTTTTGAAAATTGTCATCTATTAAGCTCTTTATTATAGCATCAGCATAACTGCCTGTTTGAATAACGGAACACCAAACAACAGAAAACCAACTTGCTTGGGAATTGAATACTTACCCAAAGCTTGAGAGTAATTTAACTTATTTGTACATTCCAAAAGATTTATATTGCATAGAACAACACTTAAGTTATGTACAGTTTCTGAAGGAAAGAATTGAACACTGTAAAGTAGGTAATAGGTTTTTTACAATTGAGAATGTAGTATAAAGACTCCAGACACAATTACAAGTATAAAAAGTCTGACAACTTTGATTTTTAGCAATCTAACTGCTTGCACCCTGAACCTGTTCTCATGAGCAGTAGAAACTCAGGGAATACAGGCAGAGGATACACATTGCTTAATAATGGTACTTGTGGCTGTATATATGTCTGTGATTGCTACAAATAACCCCAAAGGTTACTAAGTAGAGCTGAGAAATCAGAGAGGGAAAGTGTTGCTCTGTTTTTTCCAATTTTTTACTTTGTGCACTGGATAGCACTTTGTGTATAGTCAGCCTCACTGGTTCCCAGGGCTAGTCAGAAATTGTTTCCCCCGTTGTGCTGAGTGGATCATTCAAATGGTAGTGCAGAGCAGGAAGAAAAAAATCATGACCTTTTGCAGAAGTGGGTTCAGACAAGCACGGTGCTGAAACAACTTGTAATTCACTCTTTACAAATTGACTAGATTTCAAATTGACTGTGCCCCTTTAAGAGACTGAGGCTGACACCCTCTTGACCTATCCCCACAGCTGCATAAAAATCTGTGTGTTTGCAAAGGTGGTTTCCTACAAGGAATGAATGAGTGTTGGAGGGCAGGTGTGGATGTGGGTTTTTTGGAGCAATACATTAAATATTATAACATGGCTTGGCTTTGGCACAATCTGATGGAGGCCACTGTGCATGCTTATCCTTATGACCCAAGCAACTACACTGATTTTTAATATTTACCTTAGCCTATTAAGACATAACAAGTTGCAATCATGTTGGTCCCAGGATATGAGAAATTTTGGGTGAGGTAATATCTCTTATTGGACCAACTTCTATTGATGGAAGGTACAAGCTTTCAAACTACACAGAACTCTTGGCTATGTCTGGGGAAGGAGGCACAGTATCTAAATACAAGTCAAAAGTTCCACATTTTAGCTCAGGCACACTGGTTCCATCTCCAGACCTGAAGAAGAGCTCTGCATAGCTTGAAAGTGTGTACCTTCTACCAACAGCAGTTGACTGAATGAAAGGTACTACCTCACCTTGACTCTCAGAATTTAACAAATCTTTCTAAAGGGAAAAAGCTCTTTTATTGAAAGCTGTAATTAACCTAGTGCTGGCACACCATTTATTAGCGAGATGAGTATAAGGTCCTGCTACTAAAGTTAATGTAGTAGAAAAGGAAATAAAATCTTTTGCTTTTAATTTTATACTCATTATATTGTCTTATTCTTACAGTACATTCATTAAAATAGTATTTTACCCTAACTTGCATTAATTTTTTAAATGCCATTGATTGTTAATTTCTTGTTTCACAGCCCTCTTTTATAATATGCTAGTTGACAGATTTGAAAAATGTAATGTCACTATTTTAGTGTATAATGGCTGTCGAATGGGCACGCTTTGTGTGTTTATACCTGATGTCCATGTCTCTATCCACAGTTCCAGTAAGTGTAGTACAGTTTAGTTGCTAGCAGAATGGTTGTTCCAATACTCCAATGTGAGAATTATGTCAAAACTCCCAAATACGGTCTCTCAAACTTAAAGATATGCTTACATGTGCTGTTTGAATGTTTGCAAAGAAACCTACAGTTCCTTAAAGTTTCTCAAATTCACTGATGGCCTCATTTTTGTTTTATCTTTTTCTTAAGAGGTGACATGGTAAATTTCCAAAAGCTTAGCAGTTCTTTGTAGAGCTTAACCAATGCTTTGCTTGAGTCCCGAACCTTGATTTTTAAATCTTTCTCTGAAATCATGACTTGCTACATTTTGAGGAGAGTGGACTATAGGGCACATACACTGTATGTGTTGTGTCTGTGTGTGGAGGGGGGAAAATATGTTTTTAAAAAACTGGAAGTGTAAATCCTGTTGCACATAAATTGGGTGATGCTTTCACTGTTATGTTTCCCACCAGTAATTTCACCTGCATGTAAAACCTAATACATTAAAAACTTTAAAACTAAAGTTGTGGTGGTCTCAGTGCTCAAAGGGGTTAACTGCAGTTTAATAACTGCTGATGTTTTTAGATTTGCAGTACACAACTGTTTAAATACTGTATTCCTTGTAAATGAAGTAAAAAAATGTTAAGGCTGGTGCCAATATTTTTGTTAATGAAATGTTCATTGTTGTCTCTCACTACAGTCTGGTCAGAACTCTTTGTGTATAAGCTAGGCCTGAAGCCATTTTATAGCTTATAGGCCTAATTGTGTAACTTTTTCTTTCATAATGTTTTGTTATAATATCTACTGTTGTTTCTTTCATATAAATATGACATGTAAATTGTCATAATAAAAAATTAAATAACTTGATGTACAAAGTATAATGTGTCTGGGAGAAGCATGTTTGCTTTTAATTATCCTGGCACCTAAATAAGCAAAGAGGCTTCTTTTTGTTTTACTTTAAGGTAGATCTTGGAAAATGGCTACAGCAGCTCAATTCAGCCTTTGAAAGTGACTTTTGTGTGGCTAGAGGGATGTACAAGTAGCAAATTGTGCTCTTTTTCTTATGGCAGTTCAGCCTCTGCAGTTTCATCTTTGACCATCAATTGATGACAGAGAAGAAGTTTGAAATCTCTATCTTTTATATAGCTGAACTTGTCTGGTCTTTGCTGTCAGTTTTCTCTCTCTCTATCTTCTAATATACTATTATTTAAAAATAAACATTAGGCTGTTCTGCTAGCTGATTCAGAGTGGCAAATTGGGGAGGATAGCTGCTTAGGGCCAGATTTTTAAAGGTATTCATGATTTATGCACTTGGTGAGATTTTCAAATGCATTTAGGCACCTATCACCCACTGAAATCCGTGAATTTTAGGTACCTAAAGTCCTTTGTGAAAATCCCACTAAGTGCCTAAATATCTTTAAAAATTTGGCCCTTATTGCTTTTGCTCCGCTGCCACAGTCTCTAACGAAAACCATATTGTACAAAATATTTGTCATTGTAAGGCTTAAATAAGCTTCTCAAAAAGAAACATCTGAAGCCGGTCTGCCAACAGAATGTAGCAGACATCTGTGGCTGCTCTGGTCGGAGGTTTACAATATCCTAGATCAGAGTTCTGTAATTGAATGGAAGAATCAGATTAAACATGGCCTGAAAAAGGATCAACTTTGCTGAGACTTGGTGAGTGTTGGTGCTTGCAAGTTGGCAAGAAGCCCATGTAAAGAAACAGCTGCAGTTAAAGGTCCAGGTCAGTAAAGAAAATACATTTGATGATTCCTTAAATGCAAGAGCCCTGTTGGTAGTGGAAAGACTAAAGCATTTGAACTGCCAGAAACCTTTAAAGCTTGTAATGTTCTTTTTTCCTGATGTGGTTTATGGAGGCAGAGTAAGCTTTATCTATGCTGTTCTGAGTTGGAGACAATATACTGTTTACATGATGCTGTAAACAAGCTCTGGTCATTTTATATATGTGTTTGATTTACCCACTTCAGCTTTGTCTGTGAATATGTCTACATTATAGATTTTTGTCAGAAAAACAGCCGTTTTTCCGACAAAACCTGCATTACAGCCACACTGCAATCATATTCTTCCAAAAGTAAATTGAAAGGACAGAGAGGTTTTCCCGGTGTTGGTAATCCTCTACGAGGAAGAAGCCTTTTTTCAAAAGAGCTCTTTCAGAAAAAGGTGTGTGGACAGAGAGGAGGGTGGTGTTTTTTTGTTTTTGTTTTTTTATTATAAGAGAAGAGGCCTCCAGGAAATAACACGGGTGCCCTGGCGGACACGTCGTCCAAATTAATCAGGCCTCTATAGTTCCTGTCTCCTCTTAAAGTTGCAGGCACCCTGGACAAGCCTTGTGGCAGGAAGATGGCCTGAGAGCAATACCTCACAGCACAGCTCTTCCTGCCATAGTCCTTGCCACTCATGGCCCAGCCTCAAGCCCCCCCACGACCCTTCTGGCCCGTCGCAGGGAGCAGCCCCAGGGGTCTCAGGACCCACCCAGGGGGACCAACAGGCGGGCACCCTCCTGGTCCAAAGCAGAGATCCTGTCCCTCCTTGAGCTGTGGGGCAAGACAACACCTTGCAGGATCTCCGTTCCAAGCACCGCAACGCGGAGATTTATGAGTACATGGCCGAGACCCTGGCGAAGCACGGACACCCACCCCAGACCTTGGAACAGATCCGGAGTAAGGTCAAAGAGCTCAGTCAGTGATATATTCGGGCCAGAGAGCACAACTTGCACTCAGGGGCAGGACTTCACACTTGCCCCTACTTTGACGAGCTGCACCAGATCATGGGGGGTGGGGAACCATTGTGGTGGACTCCAGACCCCAGTTGTCGCCCGGCCGGAGATCACGGTGGAGGAGGAGCAGGAGGACCAGAGCCAGACGGAGGAGAAAGAGACCAAGACTCTGTCCCCTGAGCCTGGCACTAGGATCCCACCTGTGCTCAGGGGCTGCCTGCTGCGTCTGCGTGCCACACACTAACGCTGCACAGGTTCCACGTGCCCAGACCACAGCACGATATCCAGCCTGAGTGATGCCCCCTCGCCTCCTGTGCACATGACAAACTAAGACCACTTACCTGAAGATCCCTCCCCTGCATCCAACGTACTCACGGGCCTCTTCCCCAAGAACTATTGGTTGCTGCTCACAGAGGAGGGCATGGCCTCAGGGACAGTGTCTGCATGGATGACTGACTGCCTCTCCTTTGTGTTCTCCACAGCCGGGACTGAGGGTTAAGCCACACCACCACAGCCAGCTGCTATAGCCTGAGGGACCCGAATGCGTGCCGAGATCCAAGAAGACATCATGCACCAACGTCAGCGTCCTGCATGACATGCAGCAGACCCTGACGCAGAAGGTCTGTGAGGACTCCGAGTGGCGGAACCGTGCAAGGGACCAGCTTATGCATCAGTGTGATAGCATGTGTGCCATCATGTCGCACATTAGGGCACAACTGCCTGCTGTGGCTGCTCCACCCTCCTGCCCCCCCCCCCGTGCCCCATTCCCCCCCCCCCTCCCCCACACACACACACACACACACTGCCCTGACCATTGGCTGATACCATTGTGTCATGCATGATGGCACAACTGCTTGCTGTCACTGCTCCTGGCTTCCACTTTCCTTCTCCCTGCTATGCCCATTCCACTCTGCCTGCCTCCTGAGTGATGCCCATGCCCTCTCCCCCTGACCTCCCTGCTATCCCTGACCCCACTCCAGCCCCCGCTCCTGCCCACACTCTGTGGTCCCCAGCTCCGACAAGCTCTCTGCACATGAAGTGGCACATTTAGCCATGCCCCCGCTCTCCTCCAGGTTATGAGCCCCTCTCCCACTCCAGGTTTTCCCACCCCTCCCTCTGCCCACCTTTTCTTAATGTAAGATAAATACAGACTTCATTTTGTTGGAAACCAAACAGGTGTGTTTATTCAGAGGTCCGGGAAGGGGCGAAGGGAGAGGTTGTGGTGGGGAAGGGATAGGGCAGCAAGCCAGAGGCCTCTGTTGGGGAGGCCCTGGGGAGAGTTACTGGGGTCCTTGAGAGAACCTCTGCCTCAGGGCCTCCCAGATGCGCACCCTGGCCTGATGGGCCTGGCGGATGGCAACTGTCTGCTGCTGTTGGTCCCGGGAGGAAGGACTCCCTCTTCCTCTCCACAATGTTGTGGAGGACATAACATGCCATGACCACCTCAGGGATGTTGTGCTTCCCCACGTTGAGCCGGCTCAGCAGGCACATGAAATGTGCCAAAGGTGCGCTCCACCTGGAGCCAAGCCTAGTTCAGGTGGGCATTAAATTGGTCCCTGCTGGGGTCCAGGTGGCCGGTAAAGGGTTTAATAAGTCATGTCATGAGGGGGTAGGCCACGTCCCCCACGATGCACAGTGGCATCTGCACGTCACCAACCACAAAGTCACGGTGGGGAAAGAATGTGCCCACCTCCCGGTTGCCGTAGAGGCTTGAGTTTCTAAAGACGTGGGCATTGTGTGCCCTGCCCGACCCCCGACAAAAATGTCTATGAAATGTCCATGGTGGTTGACCAGGGAGAAGTAACCCTTCCTATTAATATACTGGGCCGCTTGATGTTCTGGTGCTCGGATCAGGATGTGGGTCCCATCTATGGTTCCAGTGCAGTTCGAGACCCCCAGGGTGGCAAATCTGGCCACAATTGGGTCCAGGTCTCCTAAGTGGATGACCCTCCCACAGCAGGATTGAGATGATGGCCCTTACCACCTGCAGAAGGACTCAAACACACAAAACAGAGAATAAGAGAGGGAGTGCCTGAGCCCTTGGGAGGTGCTCCCCCCCTATTCTGTTTTCCCC